AAGGGAGGCTATTAGGCTATAAAATAAGTTTATAAAAGCTTTACTCTTTTTTACTAAGATTTTTATTCAACTATAATAACTAAATTCTAGAAATATAAGTAGCCTTTTAAAAGTTAGTATTTTTATTATCTAAAATATTAAATACGTCTTTAGAATATATAGTAGTACAAGGTATAAACTTAGCTATACTAGGAGAAGTAAGGCGTTTAGTATAGTATAGTAGAGATTAAGTAATAGGTTCCTTATTATTAAATTCCTACTTATATAGATAGTTATTCTAAATAGTCTACTTAAGTACTATAATAATTATATTAGGATTTTATATTAAGAAGTATAAATTTATAGTTAATAGTTAAAACTAAAAGCTATAATACTTTTAATTTTAGGGGGAGTTATAATATTATTATATAGTCTAAGTTAGTATTTAGAACTAAGGTTATTAAAATTATAGTTATTAGAAATAAGATTACTAGAATTAGGGTTACTATAATTAAAGAGGCTACTAGAATTTAGAGTAGGACTAGGATTAAGTATAACTAGCTTATTAATTAGAACCCGCTCTACCTTATATATAGAATTAGCTCGAAGAATTACTATATATAGATTAATTTTAGGGGTCTATATATACGTTTAAAGTTAAGGCTATTAGACCTATACTAAAAGGTAAAGACGAGCTATAGGGTATATCTAGAGCTTATTAGTATAATATATTTCTTAAAGTCAAGATAAGGTTTATAATACTAGAACTTCTATAAGGTCTAAAGAAAGAGTCTTAAGAGAGCTATTATTAACTTATAGTAGTATAGGATCTTATAAGTAATAGTAGCTAATTATCTAAGTTAATTATTTAATAGGAGGTATAATATATCTAGTTATAGTTAGTACTCTTAGTATGTTTTACTTCTAAAGGACTCTCTTTATTAAATAATATATACTAGTCGAAAGGGTTAGTAAAGTTTAATTATTTAAAAGAGTACTTGCCTTATAGCTAGTACTATTCTAATAACCTAAAAGAGTATTAGTAGTATAAGAGAGGTTATATAGATTATAGTATAGGGTATTATCTAATATACTGGAATTACTAAAGTTAATTAGATTCTATCTTTAAAATATAGTAAGAACGTTTAAAGTAAGGAAGAGAATAAATAGAGGTTAAAGTACTATTATAAGATAAGAGGAAAGAAGTAAAGAAGGGAAGAAGATTATAAGAGTAGAGGTTAGAAGAGGAGAAGGTAGGTATAAGGACGTATACTTATAAATCTTAAGTAAGTACTTAGAGTTATTACCTTAGTAGGCCTAATTAGATAGCGTAGAGGGTATTTCTTATTATAGATATAGTATAAGGTCTAAAGTAGCTATTACTACTATATTTATGTATTCTAATATACTTTATAAGTAGGTTTTGTAAGTTATAAATATAGTAACATTAGTAACTAAGCGAATTTTAAATTACTTTAGTTTTGTATAAATAAGATTTAGAGAGGTAAGTACTTAAGTATCCATAAAAAAGAACTTATTATAAATTTAGTAAATAATTACTACTAGTATAAATAGAATTATATAAATAAACTTAATATGCTTTTAGTATAAAGTAGTATTAGGTATTAGTATAAGTCTAAGATATAAGTACTTTAAGTTTATTTAAAAGATACTAGATAGTATTATATTTATAAGTAATTTGTTTTAGTAAGAACTAGCTTATCTTTTCTTTTAGGAGATTTAAATTTTAGAATCTCTAACTTATATTCTACTTACTTTTAATACTATACTTATATTCGAGTTATACCTATATATACCTAGGTATTACGTAAGACTTATATCTAAGTCTCTCGACTATACTAACTTTACTTTAAAACCTTTACCATATTATTATATACTTTTCTTAGTAAGGTTTTAATATACTTCTTTAATAGTAAGCCTTATAATATCTTAATACTGGTATTTTAAAAAGTACAATATTAAATTAATCTTTTATATCTATTCTTATTATAATATATTATAACTATCTACCTTCTTACTTAATAGTATCTAGACTAGGGTTTAGACTATATTTTATAGAGGTGTTATAATTACGCTATAGGCTTAATAAATAATATATAACTTACATATTAGGTTTTTATATAGTTATATATATAAATAATAGCTAATAGTATAAGTTAAGTAGAATAATATATTTAATCTTCTAGTATTATTTAATTATATTAAAAGAGAGGCGCGTTAGGTATATAGCTTTCTTATAATATATCAGGCTTTTAAAGTTAATATATTCAAGGGTTTGGATAATTGTTAGTTTTTACTAAAGGTACGAAATAAATAAATAGATTTTATTATGGGTTATCTTTTATAGGTAATTTAATACTATAAAGCTTATATAAGATAGAACCCGAATAGGGAGAAGGAAGTTAATAAGGTTACTAGTCGAAGTAGATTTATTATATTATACTAGATTAAGGTTTTAGCTTTTCCTGATACTTTAGCTAGAGAGTTAATAATAGGTTTTAGGGCTTAGAAGGTTATAATTATTTATAATCTAGATATTACTGATAAAGAGTATCTAGTATAAGAAGGCTACTAGTTATATAGCTTACTATAAAGGATTATATTTAGAGTAGATTATATTAGTAGTTATTAGTAGTAATTATAGTAAAGGGTTCTAAGTTTTAAGAGTATAGTTTTTTTAATAATATATTATTAGAAAGAAATTATTTAAATACTCTATTACTAGCCTAATAAAATTATAAGGTTAAATAAGATATATAGATAGAGAATATAAGAACCTATAGATTCCTAAAGGTTTTTATAAAGGGTCTTAATAGAGAGGGGCCTTTAATACCAATATCTATACTAAGTTATTTATACTTAAGCTTTTTATATTATAGTATAATAGATATTAAGAAAATAATAGAGTACTTTTATTATAATGGTTAAATATATTAAATTGTAAGTTAGAATTAGTATTAATCCTTAATTTATATATAACAGCTAATTTAATAGAATAAAAGATTTATATATAATAGTTAATTTGATATAATAGACGTTACTTATTAGTTAGAATAGAGATTAATCCTTAATTTATATATAATAGCTAATTTAATAGAATAGACGTGGTTCTATAGTATCTAGTAGAATATAGTATTACTAACCTCTTTCTAAATATATAAAATTAATGTAAGATCCTATTATAGATAACTAAGAGCTAATATTATAACCGACTTTATAAATATAATTAGTAGTAGAAACCCTAAAGTAGATAATATAAGCGTTTTAACTTCTTTAAAAGATATTTATAATATTAATATCTACTTGAATTATAAGTATAGCTTCTTTTCCTTAAAATCCGGGTTTCTTAATAAAAGGATTAAGTTATTTTCGATAATAAGCGAATTCTCGATAGTAATATTAGTAATAAATCCTATTAATTTAGATATTTAAAAGGAATTTAAAAGAAACTAGGAGCTAAGCTTACTTAAAATAAACCTTAGCTATTTATATAGAATAATAACTATTATATAATAAGATTATCTCTATCTACTTATTACCCTTAGATACTAACTATAATAAGTCCTCTATAAAATATAAAGATACTATAACTAATATTACTATTAAGTATAGTTAAATAAGGCTAATAGTCTAATATTTAGCCCTTTTAAAAGTACCTAATTAACTATTTATCTAGTTACTATCTTTCTAGGCTATAACAAATAACTAGTAATTAATAGTAGTAGTTATAGAAGCTAGAGAGGAGATAGATAAGAGAATAAATAAGAAAGAAACTTAATATCTTATTATTACAAGGTGTTAAGTTTTAGTATCTAAGCTACCTTTCTCTTTTTAAAGTAAAAGTAGATATAAGATTTAATAATAATACTTATTTTAATAGCAAGATATAGCTATTTACTTTAATATTTGGATAAAGCTTTTTACTACTAGATTAAGTAACTCTATACGTATATTCGAATTTTTACTACTTAGCCTTAATACTATACTTTACTCTTCTAAAAACTTACTAGGTTTTTATAACTACTACTCCTTATTCTAGTAGCCCTTAATAGTATTTATAATATAATAACTGCTACTTATCCTAGTAGCCCTTAATATATTATAAAGGATAGAGAGGGTATTTAGATTATAGCTAGATATGGAGGTAGTTCTTTATATAAGTATTTATTAAAGGATATATAGAAGTAAAGGTAGTTCTTTATATATAGATTTATTAAAGAAGGTACGAGAGTAGTAGGAGTTCTTTACATATATATTCTTTATGTTATATATAAAAGTAGAGGGAGTTCGTTATTAGACAAGGATTCTTTATAGTAAATATAGATAAGGGGGGAACTTCGGAGGGTACTTATAGAGGTTGTTAGAGGGACTTCTTAGTATTAAGAAGATTAGAGTATTGTAAGATTTCTTTATTTAGAGGGATATTTTCTTTCTTTAGAAAGATATCTTAGAAGACGTCTTTTGTTATTTATATAATTAGGTTAGAGTTAGGTAGGATAAGCTATTTAGACCTTGCTTACTATATAGATAGATAGTTATATATACTATAGGGGATTAGTAGGAGAATTAAGTAGATTTTGTATTATAATATTCGTAAGTATATATCTTTATTAGAACTACGTCTTTAGTATAATATTTAAGGATTTACGCCTACCGTTAGTATACAAAAATATACGCGCTAGGGATAGTTTTATACCCCAGGACAGCCCGCGGCGGGTGTTAGATATTTTCGTATATATCTAGCCTCGATTTCCCAGAGGGAACTTCGAATAATTCCCGACACAAAAACATCATATGAACACCATCGGATGCAAGAACATCAGATGAACACCCCACCCCTTCCCAAATGAATCAAATTCCTCTAATCTTTAGTACAATATAACACAATACAATACAATAAATTACAACAACAGACCATCACTTCACGGTACCGGAAATGCTGTAAGAAGGATATATAACCATGAACATAAACATCGCAGTGAGAAAGTAAGAAGAGTAAGCAAGAAAAGAAATTCCTCATTCCTCTTCCTCGTGCATGTATGTATGTATACGATCTATTCAGTATACTGTCGATGAGTAGCAGTCTATGTATGTAACTTCCTCAAGTCTCAAGACCATGCATACGCAATCTAGACTAAGAACGTATGAAAAAATGAAAAAAGAGACACCAATTTTCTGTTCCCTCTACCCTCATATCTCATTCCTCGTAATCTACTCCTCAACCCCACCCATCCACCCAACCAAGCCATACCAAGCCATGCCAACCTCTACCGCTCAAACTCCATCACCATGCCACATATCATTCATCAACCAATCCCAAAACCAACTAGCACCCATCACCTACTCCTCACGCTCTCTTTTCTTGCCTACACCCAGCACCACGATCAGTAAAGCAATCCCTTAAAGAGACTTGGAAGACGAGGGGTGTAGGTACTAAGTATCAAAGCACACAAGCAAGCAAGCAAGGCAAAGCAAAATCCACTGCAACACAAGGACGAGCAAGGACGAGCAAGGGCAAATCTAACTTTTCACCAAAAGACTCTTCCCTGTCATCTCCTCGGGCTGTTTGAGGCCCATAGCCTCGAGAATCGTTGGCGCTACATCTCCCAAGACACCCTCAGACTGCTTGAGGGACCAGCCTTTAGGAGCGTTGGCCATGATGAATGGGACTTTGTTGGTGGTGTGCGAGGTCTTTGGTTTGCCGTCTGCGAACTTCATTTCCTCGGCGTTTCTGTAAAAATGATGTGTTAATATGGTAAGAATGTGGAAATGGGGGATGGAAACATACCCGTGATCAGAGGTGATGAAAAGGAGATATCCCTCTTTCTTGCAAGTCTCGTAGATCTCACCGATTCCCTTGTCGGTTGCAGCAACACCAACGATAGCAGCTTCGTAAACACCGGTGTGACCAACCATATCAGGAGGAGCAAAGTTATTCATGACAAACTCGAATTCACCGTCCTGGATACGCTTGGAAACCTGTTTGGCCACTCCTGCGGCGCTCATTTCTGGCGCTAGATCGTAGGTTGCAACGCTCTTGTTTGAAGGGACGAGATCTTGAGATTCATCTCTGGTCTCGAGAGGGAAAGCCTTCTCCACGCCACCGTTGAAGAAGAAAGTGACGTGGGCGTATTTCTCGGTTTCAGCAACGTGGACTTGCTTGATACCTTGGGAACCAAGAGTTTCTGCGAGAACGTTACCCATGTGTTGAGGTTTGAATGCAATTGGGAATGGGTAGTCGAGCTTGTATTGAGTCATGGTAGTAAGAGTGATGTTCTTTGGGTACGCAAAGTCCTCCAATGGGGAGCGGTCCGCATCACCGAGAAGTTGAGTAATTTCTCGTACACGATCAGATCTGTAGTTGAAGAAGAAAACTTGGTCGTTGTCTAAATAATAACTGGATTAGCTTGAATTCAAGGATATTATGAGAAGATTAGACATACCCTTGATACGAGCCTCCTTACCACCAACAATAATCGGCTTCAAGAACTCATCGTTCTCACCCTTCTCATATCTCTCCTTGATAGTCTTGACAACATCACTGCTCTCCTCACCATCGCCTATGCAAAGAGCGTTCAAGCCAACCTCAACTCGCTCCCAACGCTTATCGCGGTCCATAGCATAGTATCTACCGGTAAGAGACGCAATCTCTCCAACACCAATCTCCTTGATTTTGTCCAAAAGACCTTGGATATAGCCTGCACCGGATTTTGGGTCTGTGTCACGTCCATCTCCAAAGCAGTGGATGTATACGTGAGGAACACCAACTTCCTTAGCGAGCTTAAGAAGAGCATACAAATGGTCTTGCTTTGCGTGCTATAATTATCATTAGTTCCATCTTCCCTATCTCTCAATTCCTCAAACTTACAACACCACCGTCCGAAACCAATCCACACAACTGCAAACGTCCATTTCCAGACTTAGCATCATTGAAAACCTTCATGAGGACCTCATTCTTGTTCAGCTCATTCTTCTTGATCGTCTGATCAATCCGGACAACATCCTGCCAAACAACACGTCCAGCCCCAATATTCAAATGTCCGACTTCCGAATTTCCCATAAGTCCCTCAGGTAAACCCACAGCAAGCGAAGAAGCCTCCAGCTCGGTAAATCCATCCTTATCTTTCTGGAACGCATCCATCACAGGCGTCTCGGCAGCCGCAATCGCATCGCCATTCTTGGGGGAAGATTCGACGGGAATTCCCCAGCCGTCAATCACAACTACGCCAGATCATCACGATTAGCCAGGAGAGCTCAAGGTACATGAGGATGTAGAGAAGTGCGAGGATGTAATCGGGGTTTTTCTTTGTGTGGTTTGGTCTCGTTGGGGTGCTAGTTGCGCTCGGCGCAGCCATCGCTCTTCGGGGTTGGGGAAATTGAGGCCAGCAATTGGGGATGCGAGACTGAAGGGAGGGTGTTGCATAAAGGATATTGGGAATGAATAAAGAAATTCATATATATAAATGTGTATAATGAAATTGAGTTGTGGTATACGTGGTAAATAGCGGTACGTACCTAGACAGGCCTTATGGTCTACAGGCATAGTGAGGGTATTGCTGTATTGGGCGGTGTCAGCGGGGTTGGGAATAAATTAGCGATAGGGAGGGGATTGCAAGGAATTGAAGGGAAAAGAGGAGGAGTTTCGCACAGAAAATAATACGAGTCTGATCTGAAGAATGAAAGAATGGAATGAGGGATTTCTGGAGGTTTAGGCGCTTCCTAGGAAAACGTTCGTAGGTGAATGTGGTTAGTGAGTGGGGTGGTATCTCTTGGTCTGGTGGGATGTTAGAAAAAAGTAAACCCCTCCAGCCGCCATCACCAATCGCCGCGATAAGGGTGCTCCCTAGCTTCCCCGACACCGTACGACCGTCATCGCATCGGGTACCTACTTGTACTTACGTACCTACGTACTACTGCAATCCACCTCCTACGCCAAAATCGCACTCTAGCACGCTCACCCTGGAACCCCCAAAAATGACAACCTCCACCTCCCTCCCCGATCTAGAACTCGACACAATCCCCATCCTCTACTCGCTCCTCTCACGCCTACAACCCCCAACCAGCACCTCCACCGGAACCCCCGCCGCAACACCTCTGCCCGCGTCGGAAAATGGCACTCTCACAATCAAAAACATTCCCATGGAAACGGACAAGATCAAACACAAGCTCTTAGAGTCGGCGGCGAAGGTCAAGGGGCTACCTGATATGGAGCGGACGATTGAGGAGCAGGAAGCAGAGATTAGGGAGTGGGAGGAGAGGATTGAGAAGCAGAGAGAGATGTTGAGGGCGCTGAGGGATGTGGGGGAGGTGGAGAGGATGAAAAGGGGGAATTGGATGGAGGGATGAGGTGGTGGTGTATGGGGAAATGAATACTACTTAATCAACGTCTCTGGGAGGGTTGGGGGACAATGCCGAAAGGCAGAGGAAGGATTACTCGGTCAAAAGTATCCTTATGGATATACGAGTTGCTGCTAAAAGGCCATTTCGCAGGGCATGCCGAGGAAGAAATTGAAGAAGTGGAGGGTTACGGTAAAAACGAAGAGCCAGGGTAAGATTGACAAGGACGACAAGATATACCTCAAGACAGACTTGATACGAGATCATCAGGTAGACGAAGGGAGGGAAACTATCATCGCGTCATTACATTAAATATGCTAATACAAAAATCGCCCATATCTGCTCACCTCGCAACAAGCCTCTCAAATGCCCAAACCTCGGAATGGTGGAATTCCAGGAGATCTAGTCAATAGATTTGCACTGCAAGAAAATATTGGTCTCCGTCCATTCCACCCATTCCCAATCTTACCTGTTATTGAGCAGGAATACCAATTTTTTTAAAAATGTCTTCGAGTCCAACTCCCGGTCCACCTGGCACAACATCAGTCCAGACACCTTCATCTAGTCTTGATCCTTCGGGTAAAGTGCTCCAGTTTGGACTGTGTTCAGACTTGAGCCACTTGAAATCATCTACTTGATCCCATTGGTTTTCATATTCTGCCGAGGTATTCTTCTACAAGTTTGTTAGTATCAATACTGTTAAGAAAGGGAGCATCAACCTACATGACATCCTGGAATAGGTGAGAATCGAACATTGTTACAATCTTCAATGATCGGTCTACTTGCACATTGCAGATATATATCCACATTCTTGCAATCATGCATTCGAACCTGTCGGGAATCAACCACAATGATACTATCCTCAATCCCCGTAATATGAGCAGCTCCAGCCACACGACCAGCAATGATCAAAGACTGTTTGATATTCTTCAAAGCAAGACCAGCAAAGGGAGCACTATTAGCTGTAGGAACCGACATATCGACAATACATCTCCTCAAAGAGGTCAAAGAACCAGATGCTGTAGCACGAGAGGCTGAAGATGGAAGGATAATATGGAGTCCAGTATGGCCTGAGATGGCAACAGTTGATGCTTGTGAGAAACTTAATTTGCGAATGGGACCACCACCACCTGGCATTTGTCCTAGCTCGGCATTGTAATTCTTACTAGGGAAAGACGGGAGATCACCAATGGTATCCCTGGGCTCTGATGGCGGGGTAGGTGCAACAGCGGGGGTTGCAACTTGAGAAGATTCATTTGAAGAGACAGCTTCAGCTTTTGATTGACTCTGTTTTGCGAGTTCGGCTGCGTCTTCAATGGATACCGCAGAATGGTTTTTATGAGAAGTCTTGAAGGCGAACCTTGGTTTCGGTTCCAATGTCGCTTTAGTTTCCTGGAATTTCTCCGAGAGACCTTTGATAGCCTATTGATGTGAGATTTGTACTGAACGGGTGGCGAACTGTGAACTGTGAATACCTGGGAATAGACTCGTTGATCATATGGTGGAATGAATCCCGAGAGATCAGCGACATCGTTTGATAGCCTTGATATCGCTGCAAGAAGATGATCTGCTGCATCTTTCCTTTCGCCGTCAATCACAGAATAAGATCCGAGCTGGCTGATTTGGTCCAAGATTTCTACAGGCAATGGTGAGTATTCTGTCAGAAAGTATAGATAATGAACTTACCTGTACATGTCTCTTGGAAGTACCTATAAAAACGCTCTTTCAAGCCAGATGCCGGTCCACCACGATCAAATTCAGATACCACAGCCGTATTCATTTTTGCGAAATCTGCGCAGGTGGTGTATTGTGTAGGGAATTTACGTGTGTATCACAGATGGTTGTTAGAGATAATCGACCAAAGTTCCGTGTCACAATGTTACAGGATGCGCGATCAATTTCCCCAAGGAGTGAAGGAATGTCAACGGTTTTGTTTTCAGGCCGTACCAAGGTGTTGATCAGTATTTACGAGACCGGATCAAAGTGGGAACAAGTTTCTGCGATGAACAAGAATCGCTCGCTACACTTTTAAATCAAGAAGTCTTTGGAATTGTTGTTTTTATGAGAGGGGTGGCAAAATGTAGTCGAGCGGGGTATGGATGACCTTTTGGTGCATTTTGTGTGGCACTACTGTACGTACGAGTACCAGTACTGAAATAAAGATCCCGGTCCGAGGCTGCGCTGCGGCTATTCGAATCTGTACATACCTGCATATCTCACTTCTACAAACCATACATTAATCATTTTTATTCTGTCCAGGAAATCGTTCACCTGCCTATCTTGGGTTGCCAGGAGGTTAAAATGCGAAGAAGACTTAGCCGTTACTCTCCGCTTACCTGCTCTGCTACCGATCTGATCCAAGCCTCCTCTGCGATTTTCCCGGGCCATCTGAAGCATTTAGGAATGGGCGTATAGAGAAATTAAAGACCCAAATGCTTCTGAATTGGACTCGAAAATCCGAATCGCTAATTGGAGAAAACATTGGTTCCCGCAAGGATGACCACCACTCACAAGACAACTATGCAATGCGAATAGACTTCCGTTCATCTGTGAATTCGAACAGAACATATTCTATACTTGTATTGTCGCCTAATATTGCTACCAAACTGACATTCACACTTGTGTGTGTTGTTGTAAAAAGAAAATTAAAACCAACGAGACCAATACCTGTATCAATTCTTATGTACAACACGGGATGCTTAATCTGGACCAGAAGCTCACGACTGGCTCGATCTCGCGGATACATCGATCCCATAGTTTTCTTTAATTCTCTGTTTCCTTCGCTCGTCGTATCCTGGTGCGTATATTCCTATCAAAGCTTGTTAATTTATACCTTACAAATAATGGAACAGGTACGTACCTCTTCCTTCTCCTAACTGCGCAATGGTCTCCTCAATTGGGATTCTTCGGTTCTTTCTGAGCTGTTGCTTGCGCTCAAATTCGTCCACTTCCGGATCCCTTTTTGGTCCTCTCAACCTTCCGCCAGTAAATTCGTATGCAGCGAAGACAATCGCAAGACCAGCGCCCATTCCTAGTACCTTGGGGGCTGAGCCAGCTAGTTATCTTATCAGCCAGCTATTTCTCATGTACCAAGAGACATGGGCTCACTTCGCAATCCGGCAATAGCACCCGCTACAAATCCACCTATGGCATGGTTGTAACTATCATCCTTCTGTCGCAGGTTGGCTGCAACATCTCGCGCGAACATGAATCCAGCACCGGCACCAGCTAGTTCAAAGTCAATTTCTACCCACTACATCCTAGGCCAATTGATAGCAACATACTGAAGTTTGCAATTGTTCCTCCACCTCTTGTCACCCAACCCCATGGACCATAGTTCGTCTTCGACAAGGTGTTTGACGTAGCAGCGATCACGAAACCGCCGGTTCCGAGGACTAAGGCGCCTTGGGTTGCTGACTTGAGAGCATCTTTTGGATAGTATGTATGGTCTTCGGACGCCATGTCGACCGGTTCAATGGCAGATTGCTCGAGATATTATCAGTTTGGAGTCGTCGTCGTCAACTTTGAGCTTGACTGGGGTTGAACCACGGAGCTTTCAAGATGAAGTGCCGGTGGGGCTAGCCGTTTTGGGAGAGTTGGGCTCACGTCAAAAGGCGCTGGGCAACGACAACTTCCAATTGCAGACTGCGATAGCTTCAGAATACACTCCGTGCAAGATTTAAATTTCACCCATTCTGTCGCAGCTTTTCATATTGTTTTCGTGTATTCCGAGGAGGTTTAGGACAAGACGTCCGAGACTGGGATAGCGTGGAAACAGGCATACGTACAGTACTTGTACTCGCCTTTCCCCAAGGCTGAGACGGCGCTGCATTTTCGAGTGGTCAGCCTCGAGCTGTCAAACAACTGCAGCTGTCGACTAGTCTTTGACAGCAACCCGAACTCGAGGCAAAGGCTTCCGTAAGCAAAGTTACAGATATAAACGATTATGATATTTGATCACATTAAACACCATCATCGTCCACCTGAAGCCTTCATCCCATCCTTTCCGTTTCGTCCCAGAATCACCAACCCGCTTGCGGCGTCACCAGTCGTGAACGTGAATAACTTATTGGAAGCCGTCGCACCTCTCAACTTGGCACACCCAGCCTTCGCCTCTTCCATCCAACACAACCCGTCCGCAATTAAGGACAAGTAGTGCGCGGCCTACATTGTATTTCTCGCAGTGATCCCGAATCTCGAGCCATTATCTATCCACTCCAAACCTCTCACCATTACCCCTCATACGCGCTCAGACGAATACCCCAGTTCTGGGTTCTCGTCAACCACACCGAGATTCCTAAACACCAGTAACCTCCCGCGTCTCTGCATACTTGAATATTGCCATTACTCCTTCAAGTACCGGTTCATCGATAGGCTTCTCCCGGAAACTTCGCATGCGTGGACGACCATCGCATAATCAGTCAAGGAAGGAAGAACGGTCCCGGCGCAGCGGGGCTTTGAGGGGTCAAAATGACGAGGTATAATATAATATCTTCCAAGCCAGGTATGCTTATGCTTTTCTGATGCCCCTCTTCACAAACAAAGCTAATATTGCTATGTGCTACAGGAAAGACTGCTCCGCGGTTGATCGAGGATCTCCTGGACTACGACCCAAGATACCTAGAGCGTCAAGGTGGACACCTACTTGCGGACCCGCCTCCCCAATGGAAGGGCGATGGCCATGCGATTTTTAGAAAGGATGAAAATGATTGCCGGCATAAATTGATGCTGCTTTCATCTCGGTCGAACACGCCTAAATCTGCCAGCGAGGATGCAGACCCAACAACAGAATGGGTGGTAGCGACATATTGCGACGAGTGTTTATGGCATTTTGACATTATGGTTGATTATACGTCGTGGAAAAATGGACATACTCCCTGTAAGATGAACGACCAAGAACATCCGTTGCACCATCTGCAACATGTTGAGTCGATATATTCCAAAAAAGACCTTGACCAGGAAAACCCTATCACCGAAATTCATCAATTCGCATGCTCGCAGCTCTCTTGTCCTGTTGAAGTAAAGGTTGAAATCTCTAAGCCAAGACTACGCATGGATTTACTGGCGCCCCTGCTAGATAGCGTTAAAGTGCGAGCCCGAGGGGAAAGAGAAATACGACAGGATCCTGAGCGGTTTAAGAATACATCACCAGCAAATCCATTTCAAGCCCTCGGATACTTGAGAGTATATATTCAACACGCCATAGAAGAAGGGGATCCAAGCGTAGCACGCAAACGAATCAATAAACGAAACAAGAAGTTCGCTCTATGCTTTGATGAGGAATGTGACGAGCTTTTCAATTATTTGGGTTTCACGACAACCCAGGAAGACGATACTAATGTAAGCTATTTTGAGGTTGACTGAAGCGTTGTTCCTCCCGGATCACCTGCCCCTCTAAAACACTATATCCCTTGAATCTTTGATACTTGTGTGCCTTTTGCTATATTCTAATCTACGGCCATCTGCTAACATTGTCTCTAGGGAGTAAGAAACTTTTTCTGGCAACCGCCATCAGTAACCGAGCAGAACAAACCATTCTTCGAAGATGTGATGTTTGAGATAATCAAACAGATGTCACGCAGGCCAGCACATGAAAGAGGGCCAACAGAATTTAAAATTCCTCTAAAGCCTGCACTTGAGAGCATTCAACAAAGTCTTGGCTTTTCTGGATACCCGAGAGTTTCAAGAACTATACTAATTGATTCGAGCGAAGAGCACCCGCACTACCGCAGTCTCGGTGCAATATATGATTTCACCGACGACTATCTGAGTTGGGCCTATGATAGACAACGCGATTGTGACCCTCTCAATGCACCCTATTACTTGGATTGTGTGAGTGCAATTGCAAATGGACGAAAAAGTTCCGACTTGCAGACAAAGGTTGTTATGGCCATTTCCAATGGTGAATTCGGTTTGGAGGCGATCCAACAAGCCTACAGATTCTTCAACGTCGATCCTGACAATAAAGAGGGAGATGACTATATTATTGGTCTTTACAAATCGAGAATAGAATCCGCCCCTCGTCAGAAAGAAGAAGCGAGAAATTCGCTTCTGGCCATCGCAAAGGCTAGAGACTCGGAAAAGATCAGAGCCGTCGCAAACGACAAAGCAATGACAGTCACGGAAGCTCTAGATTTTTTTCAAATCGCCTCTAATTTAGATTCTGATAGTATTGAGGCTGTGGCAGTATCCTTGGTATGTTACATCAGTGAATACTTAATTTTCATGCCTCTTTAATACCCTGGCCCAATATGGCCCCAAACCTGATACCCGATCGCTAACGCAGTACAGTCCATGGATGGGGATGCATCAAAAGTAGCACGAGCGCTTAGGGTCATTGCAAATGATCGCAACGATCCCACGCTTCAAAGAGCAGCAACAAATATGGAAGCTGGCAACCCTGGCTCAACCCTCTCCGTCACTGACGCATACAACCGGCTTCAGATGACAACTGTGCAGTCACATAGCGCCAACGACGAGACTGTTCTCAATTACTACCAAAGTCTTATGAGCGACGCTGGACCAGGTTCTCAAGATAGCTTCACTGAAGCTCTGCGGGTCATTGCTATCGACCGTGGCAGCAATTTCTTGCTCACCAAGCTAGATGATCCCAATGCTGTTGTGGAAGCTGCACCGAGCACATCAGATCAGCCTGTAGGACTTGATAATATTGGCAATACTTGTTACCTCAACAGTCTCCTCCAGTATTATTACACGGTAACACCCGTGAGAAAAGTGGTTATTGATTTTCAGAATCACCGGATGTCCCTGAATGAAGAGGATATCAAAAAGAAGCGAGTCGGTGGTCGTATCGTGGCAAAATCGGAAATTATCAAGGCTCAGAAGTGTAAGTGAATACCATCACCAAGAAGTGACTGACGGCTGACAATTTCCAGTCGTGGATGAATTGCATAGTTTATTCGAGAATCTCAGAACAGCTTCTACGCACTCAGTAAAACCAACTCGAGAACTGGCAGAATTAACGATATTTAGTTCAGCGGCAGAAGCGAATTTTAGGAGAGTTTCGATTAGTAGTCCTAATGGCCCACCAAATCTCGCTTCTTTACTAGACAGCCCGGTCTATGGCCCGCAGCTACCGCCGGACCATCCTATTCAGCTTCCACCAATACAGGTAGAGGATGATATTGAGATGGTTGACCATCCTGGCGACAAAAGTTTGGATAATGACGACGATAGCAGTGAAGCTACTCTTGTAGATATGGTGGACCCACCATCCTATGAGGCATCGACAAGCAAGGACCCGCGCAACTCGCCAAAGGATATTACCGTCCATGACGGCATCATGGATAACGATACCGTCATGGTCAACGGTACGGATGGGGCCAGCGAAGAAAAGTCGTTACCTAAGCCAGAAAAACAGCCTCCATTACCACCACGGAATAAGTCGGGACTGGTTATTCAGACTAATGACCAGAAGGAAAAGGTTTCGGACGATGAGTTGTGGAGATTTGGTTCACAGCAAGACGTTACAGAGGTCATTGGAAACGTAAATTTCCGATTACTTTGCGCCTTGAAACCAACGAGCATTGATGCACAATCTGGAGAACAGATGGATATTGTCAGAGATACACTTTACGGTGCGAATGCCGTCTATTTACAGAAAGCGCAGACGTTAGAAAAGAAAGTCGAGGCGTGGTCCAATCTCATCGTGTTCCCAGCACCGAATGGGCCTCGTGACATCTACGAAGCTTTGGATGTGGTTTTCGATGAGCAAATTGTAGAAATCGACAATTCTACAGCAGCGCAGCACGCCTCGATCGATAAACTTCCACCGATCTTGCACATCCAAATTCAACGGACCGCGTTTGATTCTGTCAGACAAGTAGCATCTAAGAATCGAAATGCTGTCAACTTCCCTGAAACTATCCATCTCGATCGATATATGGATTCTCCTTACCCCGAGTCGACTTTAATGAAGAGACGTCGAGAGACATGGAAATGGAAAGCCCAGCTCAAGGTGCTAGAGGCTCGACAAGCTGCTTTGAACAAAACCGTAGCTGACATTTCCGTCGCTGATGCTCTCATCGCTACGAAAGAGTACATCAACAAACTGCAAGAAGAGGAGATTGATGGCGTTCTCGTCGGTGAAGACCTCTCGGAATGTCTGGAAGAACGAACCGCTGAAGTCGCTGAAGAACTCGAATCCATCAGCAGGGAGATTGCTGCTTTAAAGCAAAACCTCAATGAACAGTTCACAGATATGCGACAGTACGAGTATAAGCTCCAAGCTGTGTTCATTCACCGCGGTGAAGCCGGAGGTGGCCATTATTGGATTTACATCTATGATTTCGACAATGATATCTGGAGGGAGTACAATGATGAATATGTCACTGAAGTCAAGGATCGCAGAAGGATCTTTGAACATCAGGGTGCGGTGGGAGGAACTCCTTATTATCTTGCGTATGTGAGAAGTTCCGATCGCGCGGACTTGGTGCAGGCTGTTTGTAGGGAAGTCGACCCGCCTGCTTCTGACCCGATGGATGTCAGCCAGGGTATCCAGTTTGAGGAGGCGTATCAGAATGCTACAGCGATGGAGGAAGATGATGAAGGTGGGGAGACGAGACATGTTGAGCATGTCAGGCCGAGACCTATTAGGCCGAAACCTGTTCTTGGTGTTCCGAAGTGGGAGACAGTGAATGATCAGACGCCGAAGGATGCTCATGGGAGGCCTTGGCAAGTAGATGGAAGCTGAGGAAGGAGTGAGGGGATTGGGGGTCTAGAGATGTATCAGTACCGTATGAGATGAGTGTATATAGCGTCGGGCGTTGAGAGAGGGAAGCAGATGCGTTGCGATGGGTTTGTCTATGCGGACTAGACAAAATGGGGATTGGGGGGCATGGGGAAGAAAGAGTTCTTTGGCTTTTCTTCACTGGCTAGGTTAGCTTGATTGAGGTGCTTGATTGCAAAGTAGATGATATCCCATTGATTGTTACGTATACTTAGCTGCTGCCTTGTTTCAGATTAGGTATATAACGATTATTATTTTTCACTTATTGATTTCTTCTTGTTTTTACGGAGGCGAGAAAATGGGTAAATAACTACCTGGTCTAAGGGTACTTTTAGGGTGTTTATACCTAGAGACTAGAGTTCTTATAAGATAGTATATTAGTTACTCCTTCTTGTGAATATTTCACTTCTACTACATCTCACTCCTACTAAATTTTACTTCTATTTAATTTCACTCCTAGATGTCTTACTTCTTAATACTTTACTTTTTATTAAAACTCATTTATACTATTACTCACTCCTACCACATCTCACTCCCACCACACCTCACACCTTCCTACACGTCCCTTAAAACCCCTATGAAACCCCTACAATAAAAACCCCATACCAGTCCCCTTACTCCAAGTAAGCGTAAGGACATTTCCATAAATTGCCTCTTATAACATCTTTTCTTTCTCTATATATATATTTCACTTCTTACCAATTTCACTTATGATTATCAAAAACGAATAGAGGTAAATTACTATTATCTATAAATAGAATATTCTTTATATATAACGAGTTAAGTTTACTTAAGTTTCTTTTATATTAAAAAAAGGTGAAGTGAAGTCAAGATCCGAGGTGAGTATTACACTTATAAAAGTCTCGTCATCGGAAAGAAGCAGGAAAAGATATTCCTTATTTATTCATCACCGATTCCATCATCATCTTTTCAGAACCCCCCTCCGTCCCACCCCGCCTTCCTTCCCCCAGCAACGCCAACACCAGCCATATAACTAACCCATTTGATCATTTCATCATGTACATTTACCCCCCCCCCCGG